GGGTCATACCTTTTGGCGGATGGATATGGAACCTCATACCTTATCAAAGGTTACGTTCTTTTATGAAAAATGGCGGCCATTTTGAAATTTAGCTACCACCTTGAAAATCCCTTCTCGAGCAGAGCTCCTATGTCCCTATGTATCATCATGTAAAATTTGAACCAAATCCATTCAATGGTATTTGAGTTATCAAAGATAATGTTTTTTTACGAAACATGGCCGCCATTTTGAAATTGAGCTGCCATCTTGAAAATCCTTTCTCAAGCAGAGCTCCCATTCCCTAGGCATCAGCATGTAAAATTTGAACCAAATCCATTCAATGGTATTTGAGTTTTCAAAGATAATGTTTTTTACAAAAAATGGCCACCATTTTGAAATTTGGTGGCCATCTTGAAAATGCCTTTTTTAGCAAGGCTCATTTGTACCCAGGCAACAGAATATAAAATTTGAACCAAATCCATCCATCAGTATATGAGTTATTAAAGATTATATTTTTCCCGAAAAATGGCCGCCATTTTGAATTAAGCGGCCATATTGAAAATTCCTTCTCGAGCAAATGTCCTACACCCATAATGCATAAACCTATACAATTTGAATGAAATCCGTTGACCGGGATTTAAGTTATTGCCCGGACACACGAACGGACGGACGAACAGACGGACGGACGGCTTTTCTATATCCCCCTCGAACTTCGTTCGGTGGGATAACTACAATTAATTATTTATGGCATACACGAAATGCGAAGTACGATGTGAGCCTACATGCTCCCCTATACATCGAAGCAATTGTATGTAAACGTATAAATTCCTTTAGGTGGTTGAAGCTACTTAGGCCCAAAAATTACTTAACATAAACGTGTATTTCGTTTATTAAACTCTTCCTAACATCATTTTGTTTCATATTATAGCATAAGAATAGGGGTCACCGAGTTTGTTTCTAACTTAAAGCTAGAAAACTATTTACCCCCCCCCCATGTTAGGGTATTGACGAGTAAGGGATTGGTAGGTCAACAACTTTTTTAAGGTTGTGGTTTTGTATTAAAGTTAAACTTATCGAGTGATTTTTCTTTATAAACTTGCTATTATATACACGCTCTTACTCTAAAAATCGTACTTATTTGATGATTCAGTATAATCGTTTTAAATATGATATAAACAACTATTGTCAAATGATTTAAACATCATTATGCCTACGAAATGTAGGCATTTTTAATCCTAAGCAGTGACATGTGTTTACTTATCCATGGAATATTATCTCAGTGACAATGTATGGTTCAGTGCTTGGTATCGAAAATTTGCATTATATAGCACATGTTACATTTTTGTAATTTCAAAAAGTTGTTGACATTTTCACTCTACTATACCTTGCATTTGGTGATCATAAGCAACCCATTTGGCTTATCTCTAATAATTACTATATATGTTTTTATGTGTCTGTACCATATGAATGGTTAATCTGATGACTGTATTAATAAGGAACTTTCAAAAGTATATACTTAACAATCCAATTTGACAAGCAGAATATCTTATGCATTTCTACGTGTAAAGTATAGTAGAGTAATCTTGTAATGTGAGTGCCTATTATATATTTTTACCTTGTGATATGCCATACTCTCCCGGAGTGTCTTTATCCCTGATATTTACTTAGGTGGGTCAAAAAGTTTTGCAGTTGATGCCATTACTTCAAGGAAAATAGGACTTTTACAATGAAACTTGGTACACATATGTGTTATATATTTATACATTATATGTTAAAATTTGGGACCTCAATTCTGATTGGTTCTTGAGATATGGTTGCTATGGTAACCAGAGTGGTGGGTACCATGTTCAACCCGAAATTACGTTTTTCCAAATAGTTTTCTTGCTTGAATAAACTCTTTGTAAAGTGGCAATTAGCAGGTGTAAGTGTCTTTGGGTGGCTATTTTTCTTCAATTTCAAAGGACAGACATATTTCATTAGAGGAAATAAGTGATTTACTGGATATATCTAAGGGGTCCTGCCATACAATTGTCACAAAGATCTTGAAAAAGTGGTATGTTGCAGCAAAGTGGGTTCCAAAGTTCCTCACAGTGGAGCAAAAGGAAGCGCGTCTTGCAGCATCTAGGCAATTTCTAGAAACGTTTTGGCATCATTTCCAAATGCTCCCTGAACCAGTTCATAAGTCTCTTGCAAAGTCTTGCCATTTTGAACCATGCACTGTATCAGATTTCTATGCTTCCATTTCATCAATTTGGTTGGTGTGGAAACATCTGCCATTTTAATAAATGAAAAAAAATTGACATTATTAATTGTCAGTTATATTTTGATAATGATTTAGTTTATACTTTCTAGATTCTTTTGAGACTAAATTGAGCATAAAGGGCAAAATAACAAAATATATATGCAATGATGATATATAGCTATCAGCTGTACTGTATTTGTAGGTAATATACTATATAAACACTCTGAACAGTAAGCGTATTATATGAATAGCAAACGTACTTTATTGCATAATATATAAATAAGTGTATGTATATGCAGTTCAGGCCTCCTAGACTTCCACCAACGTGAACATCAGTTTTGGCCTCGGTATAATGTGAGACCTAGCACAGCCACCTTTAAGCCCAAGGCAAATGTATATTCAACAACACAGCGGATGCATGGGGAGAAAAGCTAATAGTGTCAACCAAAAATGTCTAAAGACGGTTCGTTGAGGTTTTATGTCCTGTTGCAGAACCCCTGTTTTCAATGCTTTGAAATAGTAATATAGACTGTCCTTGATTCGTTTTTAGAAATTAAGCAAAATCCACTGGAGTTTTAGTAAGTTATGGCGGAGTTAAACAGGGGCCTTTTTATGAGTAAAACTCCAATCAAAAATCCAATTTAGAAATTCACTATTATATGCCCTATTTATACATAACTTCACACATTTCTACTAGGAAAATATGATGCACCTCTAATTTTTAGAAATGCGTAGACACATAACGAGAGTTTGAGATTTTAAAAAAAAGTTGTAACCGGCGTGTTTTAACATTTATATGTTTTTGAACAATTTCTCACTTTCCACGGATAAAACAATTTTAATAATCATTAGATATCATTTAGTTCTTTAAAAAACAAAAGTACAACATTTGGTCTTATTTTCTACCTTCTAGACTATTTATAAAAATTAAAAAGAAAAATGTGATAATAACATTTGATAAAGTTAAAGTTCTAAATGATATATGATATATAAAGTAATTGTGTATGCCGTGTAGATATTTCCTTTGAAAATATTTTAAAATAACTCTTGAAAATCGCCCCTTGTTGAAATCCTCCATAACTTCAAAACCCCAAGCGATTTGCTTAAAAAATAGAAATCAGTAATGCAATATCAAAACTAAAGGTTCTAAGAAATAAAAATTCGGGTTCTTCACATCCATTCCAGATATAAGGTGCAATTTGGGGTTCAAACTTTTTGAAAAATAAAGTTTCTCTATTTGTATCAATCCTTTGGTATATTATAATGTAATGTATCAAGGGGCAAAATACAAAAAATTGCAAACTAATCTACAACCATTTTGAAATTATTGTTGATTTCACAAGTGTACCTTCATCGTCAAAAATGATCTCTGAAATGTACGTTTTGTTATGAAATGTCACTTTCAACAAATAATTTGACCTAATGGAATTACCTAATTGTAAAAAATCAATATGCATGTAACATTAGGACAAATGTCGAAGTCAATGAAAGAAGTTAACTTCTTCAAAAACAGTTTTTCCATATTTATATTATCTTCCCAACTTATGGATGCTGAATGTTTGAGTCCCAGCTTTTATAGCGTTTTAACTGTTTCAGAGCTTGCTCAGTAGAAATAAATATCAACGAATTCTTAATCATGGAATGTGTTTGTGACCATGTAAGAATTCCCGAGTTATTTACAGATATACTTGGAATGTCTGCACGTTGCCTGTACTAAGAGAGAGGTCAATTTTATGCCTTTGAAGTATTCAACTCCATAAAATGCCTTCCAGACCGTCCATGAAAAAGGCACTCGTCATGTTCGACTTCATGAAAAGAGCATGTCATCATGAATTCTCTTCTTATGCTTGATTTACCCATCCAATAGTGCATTTGATTCTCACGATTTTGAGAAATGTGATAAACTTGTATCGATAGTAGGACCAACTACCATTTTGGTCAAACAAACCGATGATGTCTACAAACACCGCTTAGAAATAGACATGCCACCTATTGATATGTACGTTATGTATGACAACGTACATATCTGAGAGATTTATATTACCAGAAAACTTCATAGCAGTGCTATAATGTAGCTTATTCAATAGTTACACATTAACTAAGTTTATCCACAACTCAACTACGCAAAAATTTGCTATTTAACTTGTGATGTAAGTAATATATCGTTTTGACAAAGTAAGGGGTGTACATTTTCTCTTATACTCACCTTGATACAAGTAAAATTTCTCGAAATACACTTCAGTTTAAATCACAACTGCTGCTAAACAATCTATTAGTTCAAATGAGTCATGATAAAAACAAGAAATACCCAATTTATATATATTATCACACATAATTAGCAAATTTAATAAAACAAGACAACGTACATTTCAAGTCTCGTACATTATCAATTTGTTAGAAGTGATCTTCCAGAGCGAAGCTGGAAGATTTTCTTAACAGGTTAATGGCTCCTATTTGGTCAGTATCAATGACTTAAAAGTACTAGTGGGTTCAAATCAACTGACCTAATCTCATGTTTGTATAAAGTGTGATAACGTACATATCAAAGAAAAGTATAACTTTTCAAAAATCTTGACTTTAGTAGCTACTGATTGAACCATTATGTAACTTGTACAAAATTGACCTGTTTCGATGCTAGAAATGTTTAAGCCAGTTTGTATGATGAGCATAATCTCAAGCAGCATTAATATTTTAAAATGTTTTTGCATGATGCATACCTTGGGGGTGTTAAGCTCCAAAAATAGGCGACACGTATATTAGAACGTCTAGAGAATAAAATATATGCATAAATATCATCTCCTGGTTACCGTACTTGACATATTTCCTATTTTTGTTTTTAGCGTTCGTATAGCAGTTTTAGCAGTTTTAGACGTAGAAAGATGGGTAACGAAACGGAGTTAATTTTCGGCTGGGAAGATTGGCTTGTATACGGATTTGCATTACTGGCATCGATTCTGATTGGTGTTTACTATGGATGCACCGGAAAGAAACAAAATACATCAGAAGAGGTTTTGCTTGGTGAAAGAAAAATGTCCGTGTTTCCAGTATCATTGTCGATTTGTGCAACTCTGCAATCCACGGTAGCAATAATTGGATTTCCTTCGGAAGTTTATAACTATGGTACAATGATATGGTTCCTTACAATATCCCACGTGGTCGGGTATATCATAACTGCACATGTATATACCAATTTATCACAGACTGAGATTGACGAGCGTTTTTGAGGTTTGTGAGTTTACTTTAGGCCTTAGAAATATCGTATATATACTTAGAGTAGTCGAGCATATTTGTAATATTCATGTTGTAGAAATGTGTTGAATATTCTTTGTGTGATACATTTTATGTAACGTTTCCCAATTCCTTAAGGAATAACGTTCTCGGATCAGCTTGAAATTTATAGGTAAATTACAATGAGAATGATTTATAACATTAACATCGAACCTCTCATGTATAGTAACGTTCTCAATAATTGCTAAGCAAACTCCTCTCTTATTCCAGTATCTTGCTTTGCGATTTAACAACAAAATCCGATTGCTTGCAGTTCTAATATATTCAATTCAAACGGTAGGTAACAGAATAGAATTACTTCAGACCTTTAATCTAGCAGAAATTTGGGGTATTTTGAGGTCTCATAGTTCCGTCTGGGTGTTTTTTCTTTAATTTTTCAGCTTGAATAAAGGGTTGAGAGCTCAAAACTACCGGATGCCAAAACGGCACCATTAGGCAACTCTACAGAGCACTTCTCATACCATCTCAGTGGATACTTTAACTCCAAGTCATATCATTGTACCCTCATGAAGATAAAGACTAGAAATCTACAAGAACTTTTATTAGTATAATGTTTGATCTGTATGACAAGAATTAGAAAAAACGTAATCCGCTGATAAAGCAACATTAATAGAGCACTAGGTGTCACCATGGGAATACTTGATTTTATGTGGTTTCATAATTTTTTTCATAGTCCCGATTCTTTCTATCTGAAGCATAATGTTTGATTTGAAATTAAATGAAAATAAAATAATTTTTGATATGGTTTGTGCAACTTGAACCTAGAAAATGAACGATGGAAACTTTGGTGACTTTCAGAACGATGGTGATTTGAGGTGGTTATCTTAAAACTACAAGTTTTATTTTTAACAAATAGATGTGACTATTTCCCTCTTACTTAACTCTTTTAACCTTGAGAGCATTTCTTTTCCAAAACGTGTTATTTTGGACCACCTTTATTCTCATTCGAGTAAAGGGTACTAAACATTGCTGTTTTATATGTTAGAGGATAGCTTGGGATGGCTTTGTTTTCTTATGATTTGTGTATTTTTAAAAGTATCATATTTTGCTCTGTTTTTACATATATATTGGTATTTCTAGTGGTACTTGTGTATACATTTTTTAGCATTTCTTATTTGTGAGTTAGGTCATATATAGTTAGGACACCAATATTCATATTAAATTACATAGGCTAGTACTGCTCATGATGTATATACCATTTTGTTATATTATCCTCGTTTTATTTCCAGTTGCTTTTTATGTCAATACAACTATATGCTGCGTCACTAACACTTGCAAAAGGTAAATGTGTTTGACTATAATTACAGTAATTATTTACCCAGACAAAATCACATCATGTTGCAAGACGTGACCTAAAACACGTGCAAAATGGAACTACATAAACACTAATGTTACATTATATTGTTTTGCTATTTTTATGTTGTTATTTCATACAGAGTAACTAGACTAAACGTTATAGTTAACTTGATTCAACGTGATATAAATTTCGACAATGACAATAATTATCTATTTTATAACACCGCTTTATATTTGTTGTTCAACAAGTTGGTTAGTGGTGCAGGGTGACATCCTAGGGGGGGGTACATTGGCCAACCAGGAGTTAAACTGCATTATTGACTAACAGATGATTGTTATAGAGATTAGACACATCGATCCTGAATACTCATAATTGCAAACTCTCCCTTCAAATGATTCCCTTTTTCTTTTTCTTTTGTACCTTTTCTATTTCCAATAAACATTTATTAAAACTATTGTGTAATTTAATATACTTATTTCAAGCGTCATTAAATTTTCATTAATTTTCCATAAAAACTGTATTTTATTGTAAAATTGACTAAACTGAAATATATATTATTATTTGTTAAATCCAATCTGTTTCGGTTATCGCACGTGGAATTGACATCGAAACGATGTCGTGAAACGTATTCATGATTGCTTGCCTTTTTTTAATTAATGACGAAATCAGATTCTTTTCATCGTATTTGTATGATTCTTTACATACGGTGACATACTTACATACAGGATAAACTGACTTATTTATTTGCTTCCACTGTCTATTAAACTACTTCAAAGATAATATACGAAAATAAGTTTGAAAGGCAATGGAATCTGAACTTGAATAACACAAGTACCTGGTATACAAATGTAAATTGGAAATATGTTCTTATATTTTCTTATATATGGAAAAAAACATTTTCATATTGCCAGATTGCACAGAATGACATTTTTGTATATTTCAGTAATTTGAGATCTATCTGCCATTTTATTTTTGGAGAATTTACATGGCAGGGAAGCATCAAAATATAAGAGGCTACAGACTTTATCAGACAATCCACAACCAATCCAAGACAAGATATACTAATGTCATTCTTGTGCAATTTATGAATATATTGTTTCATATATTATTGCACAATAGTCTTTACATTTCTTATTTTTCAGGTTCAACTGCTTGGCTTTGAAGCAGTTTAACAGACTGTAGGGACAGTAAAATACGAATTATAAGTTCCATTGTTTGATATTATTTACTTTGTATTTCCGTTTACACTAAATTGATTAATCTTTTTTAGCTAGTGGAATTCCTTTCGTAGGAACAGTGATACTAAACGGATTGGTGTGTGTGGTATACACGTTCCTTGTGAGTCATATCTAACATTTTGACTTCTTGTTATTTGAAAATTTTGTGAATTAGCGCACTCTGATTTCGTTACTTTAATCATTCATATGGCGGTAGTCTATTGATAATTTTGTTTTTATCTAAATCTTTACCAAATAAGAAAAATAAATAAAAAATAGTTCAAAGATTTTTATATGGGATAGTACTAATAAACTTTGCCTAGAACCTCAGTAAGTATGGAATACATTTGTTATTCGCGGTCAGCTACATGGTTTATCCTTCAGAAAATATTTGTACGAGTATGTCCCTCGCTTTAGAGATACACATACTTCCCTTAGGATAAACCCTGTATCCAAAACTTCCAAGTACATAACCCTAATATGATTTGTATCGGTATGTTTATTTTATGTATCTACATGTATAGTTCATTTTGCAATATGCATTGTTTTGAACGACCCATTTCCAATCGACGATTTTCATGGTTTTGACAAGAGAAAATATTTTCGGCTGAAAACTCAAAATATATATTATTCAATACAAAATCTCAATTTCTTAGATGAAAAGATGTTTATAATTCCAGGGTGGTATGAAAGCGGTTGTTTGGGCCGATGTATTGCAACTTAGCTTGATATTCTGTGGGTGTCTTGCTATAGTAATTCAGGGTTCTATCCGTCTCGGTGGTATAGGCCGAGTTTTTGAAATAGCAAATGAGTTTGGAAGAATTCAGTTTGATGAGTAAGTATATTATGTAAGTACAATTACCTTAAACCTCAGTTGTTTTTACAACCTTTATATGTTTGGACCCCGGGCTATACAGGGTGATCACTAAGTTCTGGGAATTTATCTGTCATTTCATTATTTTTCAACCAATCTACTTGAAATTTTCAAGGTAAATGGAGAATATAGTTTTGGGTTGGATAAAACAGTTTCATTGTCATATGATGTCACAATGGATAATTATTGTTACTATAGCAACATGACAAATGGCGTAGCGGGTCAAGAAAAACTTGAATTCATTTTTATTTTACTTAATCCAAAAGTATGGTTAATTAATACCTATTTGGTAGAGAAATTTCTGTGATTTTTTATGTTTTCAAATATTTCTAAGTTTAGTTTTTAAAGTAACATCTGTATTGTGATATAATAGTCCACTTTGCTCAATTTTTTTATCATTGGTCAGACTCTCAAAGTCACAATCATGACTCAAAATAGCGGGGAGTTATCTTCCATTGTGACTATGCTTCTTCCCATTCCTCAAATTGCCCATACTAGTCTTGAAAAATTAAGGTTCACACAAGTTGTTCATGCCCCATATTCACCAGATGAACCACCATTAGGTTCACTAAATTTGACTGTTGAAGCTTCATATAGAGATCATCATAAGTTTGGTTCCAATGAGGGACTGATCTCAACAGCTTGAGCAAATTTTAAAGGGATACCAAGGGGAGGACTGGAAAGCAACTTCATGGACTACAGTAGGTTTGAGAACAATACATAGGCATTCAGGCCTATGGAAATCATTATAAATGAAATGATCCTTCCAGCAATGAAGAATACTTCTGAATAAATGACTTCAAGAGTACTGTTCTGCCTCTAGTACAATAAGTTTGAACCAACGATCTAGGCAAGATGAATATGTTTTAGCAGGATATTTTTCAAATTAACGTCAGTCAAAATTTGCTGACCCGCTGACCACTTTTACTTTTTTTATAATTGCAATAAAATAAATTGTAAAAGTGATATGTATATGAAACATTGTCTGTCAATTCAGAATTATACAATGTACATTTGCTGGAAGTTTCAACTGATTTGGTTGAAAAATATTGAAATGACAGACCAATTCCCAGAACTTAGTGATCACCCTGTATTTTGCAATAACTGCATCCAAAGCATCTTTTTTCATTCTGATGTCAGTTTTGAATAAGTTATTCAACTACCTTTCACACGGCAACGAATGTCTTAGCAGTTTATGGCACTTGGAAGCATTTATATATAATATTATGTTATTTGAAAATAACTTATTGTAAGTTGTGTTCTTTGACATCAAGTAGTACAAAAGTCATCGTGCATTTTACACCTGGTTTGTTTAATCTAAACGGAAATGAATACGTTTAGAATGTAATGGAATTTCATGTTGATTGAATAATTATTTCCAAAAAAAAATTTGAGGGTTAACTATCATGGATCAAATAAATCGTTTAATTGTTATTATAATCACGGTCATAATGATCATGATGGTAACGGTCTTATTAAGCATGTGATTAATAAGTCGATGATAATTACACGTACACTGTATACTGTTGAACTGATTGAGGGTGCTAAGTAACGACAAACCCGCTGCTCTCTTTTTAGAATAAACCCAGATCCAACGACACGGCACTCTGTATGGGGTGTGGTTATTGGGCTCGGGGGATATAGCGTGGCTTTACATGCAGCTAACCAACAGTTTGTACAGAGATATCTTGCATTAAAAACTAAAAAGCGTGCTCAGGGGTAAGAATATTGCAGACTTTTTTCAACTGTTTCTTTTGCTGTGCCATTTTAATAAAAAAAAAAACTGTTGCTACCTAGAAACGAGTAATTGTGATCTTGTAACCTAGAAACAAGCAATCGTGATGTCACGTAACACTAATATGAATTCTAGAATCACATGGCAGTCATTTTAGAAATTTCCCAATTAAAAAGTCTAAATGCTGTGTACAATTTGGAAACTATTTCAGAATCAACAAAGGTTTGTGAAAAATTAGGACAAGGTTTCAAAATTATGCACAGGACAATACTTGTATAACTAATAAATGCAGGCAGGGACTTTAAACTGCCAAAACGTTGAGTATCAAAATATATTGTTTTAAGCCTCGGACATTAACCTTGATAATTTACACGTTTTAAAAAAAACTGTACGTGTACATGTAGAATTACGATTCTTTATGAATTAGATTGATATTCGAAAGTACCTAGTGTAATTGTAATTAGTCCCTGGGAAAGTGGTTCGGGAGCGTGGGCGTATTCTACGCGGGTTGAATCTATACACGCTGGCGTAGAGGTTCTCTAAAAACAAACCTCTCTATTGTTTGCCTTGACAAAATAAAACAAAGATACGAGACAGAAACTTGAATAAAAAAATTGTTTAAATATTACGAACCAAATAATTTATCAGTACACAAGATTGTTCGTTCCCATTTAGTGAACTAAATATTATGCTTTTGGTTACAAACATTTATTAATGAACTGTTTAATGACTTATAAAAACTACAATATACTTATCATCATTCACATGTATGTTTGTCGTTTTCTTTAGTGCATTGTACCTCAGCTTAATTCACTCTGCAATAATCCTGGCCTTGTCGACTTTAGTTGGAGTGGTGATGTTTGCCACATATGCCTATTGTGATCCCATCAAACTTGGCCATGTTAATTTGGCTGATCAGGTAAATATAGTAGCCCGGACAGAATTGTTCAATGGTCACTTTTTCTTTAATAACTTTTTTAATTTTCAGTATTATCATAGTCTGATCACATATTTGAAAACTAGAGTAAAATTCTGACATACAAAAAATATATTTAAGGAACATCTCTTAATTTATTAATATTATAGGCGTTCATAGTATGACTGACGCAAATACATAATTCATCATTTTGCCTCATATTTGTTCAAAATGGCGGCATATTTTGTGAATTTGAATGTTCAGTTGAAAGCTAATATTTAAAGATTGCCATAGGACTAAAGGGCCATACTGCCACCTTAACAATCCTGATGTAATGCAGCAGCAACTGACCATTCATCAAATACAAGAAATTAACTCCCTCCGAGGGTAAATGACATCAACTCTATTGAAATTTTCGAGGTTGTGTTCAAGAGGATTTGAAAAGGTGGCGTCCCAATGTGCGGGGTGTGATGAGAGTAGGTCCTCAATCTTTTCAAGAGCTCCAAACAGCCATCTCAGAGGCCATTGAAAAGCTGAAGAACAATTCACATGCATGCCAAGGATGGGTTAAGAGGCGTGTGGTTGGGAAAGACATTACAAACTGTGGCAGTATGACCCTATAGTTGCACAGGTTAACGAACTAGGGCTGCTAATCCACTACGAGTAACAATGGAAGGGCCAAAAAACGTTAAGTCCTGCGACCTTACCAATATACTGTACATACAATGTGCACACCTTTTTAAGTACTGGTATACATAAAGCAAGTCAATTTAAAACAAAAGCTTATAAATGCAGTCATTACCTCATACCAAGGCAGCAGTCTACATGATTTCTTAGGCCTATGACATTTCTTAAATATTTACTTTCAACTGAACATTCAAACCACAAAACATGCCGCCATTTTTGAACAAATATGACACAAAATGGTGAATTATGTATTTGCGTCACTCATACTATGAACGCCTATAATATTAATAAATTAACAGATGTTCCTTAATATTTTTTTTGTATGTCAGAATTTTACTCTACTTTTCAAATATGTTATCAGATCTTGATAATGCTGAAAATTAAAAAAGTTATGAAAGAAAAAGTGACCATTGAACAATTCTGTCCGGGCTACTAAATAAGGTAAATAATGATAGGTTATATGTATGAAAAATTGATTGTTATGAGAGCATTATTAATCAAAAATATTGCTGCCTTTCAGCTCCTTCAATTCACCAGGCGTCCTTGGGCATTTCCGTGTTTTGGGAAATATTGTATCTGAAATTGTTGTGTTGTTTGCATTCCAACAAAACCAGAATTGTTCAGGTGTTATTGTTTGACAAAATAGTGCCAATTACACCCCAGTCACATTTGTCGCACGACGGCCGCAAGTCGACCGCAGATCAATTAAATCAGTGTATTTCTGCGGCGAGCGTAGGAAAACTACGCTCGCCTTACGGTCTCCGTACGGCGTATCCAGTTTTTACAGGTCGCAGGGTCGCCGTAGAAATTATAACTTGGAGTTATGATATTTGTTCATTTCTGAGGTCCCCGTAGAAATCAACTGGCTCAACAAGATTGAATCATTATTTGTCAATGTTTCACGATCACTTTTCATTTGATATTACATCCTAGCACTATGAATAACATTTACAAATTGTCCTGATGTAAATAAAATGAAAAAAAGTATTATTTATCAACAGAAATTTAAAATTCACCGTGCGGCTGCCGTGGGAAATATGACTGCAAAAGTATGAGAGGGCAGAAATTCGACGGCGAGCGTAGAAAAGCGACTGGCCGCAGAAATGATAGACCGCACGGCGGCCGTGGGAAATGTGACTGGGGTGTTAAACGCTCGTTCAAACACGAAAATCTATGCTGAATTCGTTTTAAATATATTGGGGAGTTGCTAAATTTGAATCATGCGTTTCATTTTGCTCAAAGCTATTTCAAAATACTAAGCTTTGTATAAAAGAACTCGTACCTGTTACCCTAGTACCAACGTACGTTGGGCATGATAAGTCTTTGAAGGGTTAAATTTTTTGAAACAGGATTATTAGATCTTCTTCTCCAACCGAATTGAAGGTGCATTCAAGGCCGTCTATAGACGTCCTTGGTGCATTGATGCATCCCATAGGCTGACATGTATGTGTTATGGATCAAACTTTGTCTAGTCATAAAATAAGGCCATAATTGCAAAATTGTTTGTCTTCGCAATTAAATATTATCAGTAATCAAATATTGCGCTATACACTGCTTGTTCACGCAATTCATACCAAAATCGTTTATATTTGCTGGGGACTTCCAGGGAGTCATCTAAAAGGTGTCATAATATTGCAACATGTCGATTGCAATGAACGTCGTCTTTATAGGTAAATTACTCAAGTCAATTGGGAACCATCATCCATAGTTAAACAAACAATTACACTGACGTGTAATGGACTAAACTAACGATCTCTGAGACTAGAAATATTTATTTTTTGACCCAACCTGCTAATCCGAATATAAGCTTCATATATGAACGCATCAAATCATACTTATTTTAGTGTAATTAAATAGGGCAAGGGAAATTTAGGGAATTTAACCGGGGGGTTCCTATGAACCTCTAGAGCACCCGCTTGCTACAGTTATGCATCGTTATATCCATATCGCTCCTCAATCGTCGGAATAGTTGTGAATTATTTTCAATGAAAATCGAGTGCAATTATAACAGCCATTCTTATAGATGCCTGCACATTTGGTGATGGATTTGTTTGGTTCTCTGAAAGGAATGCCGGGATTGTTTATTGTGACTATCGCCGCTGCAGCAATGAGGTATGGGTATAATCAATATGTGATATAAGGACGTTCAATACATAGTGGCATAAATATGCAGAAGCACTCGTTGGCATAACTGCGCCCTTTGCCGTATCAACACAGTGCGGACGCCAATCCGTTCTGACGAGGGTATAATCAACTTAGTTTAAAGTTGCTTATTTTGGTTGATAAAATATTGACCAGATCTTTTTATTTGCACTTGCTTTACATTTGTATAACGTTTCCTAAACTGTGAATCGGCACTTCCAAGATAATGATTCAACAGTACATGATGGTTCAACATTTTACCACCATTATTTAGGTCTTATATTAACTAGAAATCGATGTACCTTAAATAAGTTCTTTTTAGCTCACATGGTGAGCTTTTGCAATCACTCACTTGTCCGTCTGTCCGTCCGTCTGTCCGTCCGTCCGTCCGTCTGTCCGTCAACAATAGTGGCACGTTTTAAAACCTCTGTCGATAGGATTCCTGTTTTAAGTTATTTCTGTTCAACATCAATACAGAAAACCCCCCTATGACTCCTGGTTCAAAAGCTCGCCTATTTTCAAAATGGCCGTCACTTTTGTCTCGCGAAATTCACTTTTAGCCCATTTCCTAGCTAACCTCTGTCGATAGGATTCCTGTTTTAAGTTATTTCTGTTCAACATCAATACAGAAAACCCCCCTATGACTCCTGGTTCAAAAGCTCGCCTATTTTCAAAATGGCGGTCACTTTTGTCTCGCGAAATTCACTTTTGGCCCATTTCCTAGCTTTACAAATAATTTCAGGTGTCCTACATTGTAAAAATCCATGTCAATGTAAAGATTAGATATATGAAATAATTTTGTTACAAAAAATCAGCGAAAAATTGTATCCATTTTTTTATTTTCAGCCATTTTAGTTAACATTGATTTGTCTATCTGACTCGCGAAATCCACTTTCTGTCAATAACAGTGGCATGTTTTAAAACCTCTGTCGATAGGATTCCTGTTTTAAGTTATTTCTGTTCAACATGAATTCAGAAAACTCCGCTATGACTCCTGGTTCAAAAGCTCGCCTATTTTCAAAATGGCCGCCATTTTTGTCTGGCGAAATTCACTTTTGACCCATTTCCTAGCTTTACAAATAATTTCAAGTGCCCTACATTGTAGAAATCCATTGCAAAGTAAAGAGTAGATGCATGAAACAATTTTGTTACGAAAAATCAGCGAAAAATTATATCCATTTATTTATTTTCAGCCATTTTAGTTAACGTTGATTTGTCCATCTGTCTCGCAAAATTCACTTTTGGACCATTTACCTTAAACCCTCTGTCGATAGGATTCCCATTTTAAGTTATTTTTGTTCAACATCAATACAAAAAACTCTCCTATGACTCTTGGTTCAAAAGCTCAGCTATTTTCAAAATGGCCGTCACTTTTGTCTCGCGAAATTCACCTTTGACCCATTTTCTAGCTTTACAAATAATTTCAGGTGTCCTACATTGTAAAAATCCATGTCAATGTAAAGGGTAGATATATGAAATAATTTTGTTACAAAAAATCAGCGAAAATTGTATCCATTTTTTTTATTTCAGCCATTTTAGTTAACATTGATTTGTCTATCTGACTCGCAAAATCCACTTTCTGTGGCACGTTTTAAAACCTCTGTCGATAGGATTCCTGTTTTAAGTTATTTCTGTTCAACATCAATTCAAAAAACTCCCCTATGACTCCTGGTTCAAAAGCTCGCCTATTTTCAAAATAGCCGCCATTTTTGTCTCGCGAAATTCACTTTTGACCCATTTCCTAGCTTTGCAAATAATTTCAAGTGTCCTACATTGTAAAAATCCATGTCAATGTAAAGAGTAGATGTATGAAATAATTTTGTTACGAAAAATCAGCGAAAAATTATATCTATTTATTTATTTTCAGCCATTTTAGTTAACATTGATTTGTCCATCTGTCTCGCAAAATCCACTTTTGGACCATTAACCTTAAACCCTCTGTCGATAGGATTCCCATTTTAAGTTAATTTTGTTCAACATCAATACAAAAAACTCTCCTATGACTCTTGGTTCAAAAGCTCGCCTATTTTCAAAATGGTTGCCATTCTTGTTTCGCGAAATTCACTTTTTGCCAAGTTCCTAGCTTTACAAATAATTTCAGCTGTCCTGCATTGTAAAAAGCCATGTCACTGTAAAAGGTAGTTGTATGAAATAATTTTGTTACAAAAAATCGACAAAATATTATATCCGTTTTTTTTTATTTTCAGCCATTTTAGTTAACATTGATTTGTCCATCTGTCTCGCAAAATCCTCTTCTGGACCATTTGCTTAAAACCTCTGTCGATAGGATTCCAGTTTCAAGTTATTTTTGTTCAACATCAATACAAAAAACTCCCCTATGACTCCTGGTTCAAAAGCTTGCCTGATTTCAAAATGGTCGCCATTTTTGTCCCGCGAAATTCAATTTTGGCCCATTTCCTAACTTTACAAATAATTTCAGGTGTCTTGCATTGCAAAAAGCCATGTCACTGTAAAGAGTAGTTGTATGAAATAATTTTGTTACAAATTATTGGCAAAAAATTATATCCGTTTTTTTCAGCCATTTAAATTGACTGAGAGACAGATGGCTTGAAAAAATGTTGTAACAAAAAATTATATCCGTTTTTTTCTGTTACCATGTGAGCCCAGTACCCATGGTACTAATTTTTCACTTGATCACTTCCCAGCACGATGTCATCTGGGCAGAATGCTTTGGCTGCAGTATTTCTTAAAGATATAACGAAGCCTATTTACGAAGCCATACATAAACGAAATATGACGGAGACATTTTCTACTCGCATCACTAAATGTTTTAGTAAGTCTTTTTATTCAAAATGTTATATTCGTACTTGGGTAAAACATCTAAAACTGTTTGAACATGTTTACAAATGAGGTATTCACAAGGTTGTGTTTAAAACCTATATTTAAATTGATTTTCAATGACGAAATGTAATCTTGCTTTTCAGGTATGGTTTTCGGACTGGCTATTATAGCACTTGCCTTTTTAATAGAACTATTGAAGGAAACAGTTTTAACTATAGGTCTTAAACTAATAAGTGTTTTATCTGGACCTCTACTTGGAATGTTCACACTCGGAATACTTTTTCCTTGTGCTAATGTATGGGTAAGCATGAAGTATAAATAATCTAGATTTCGAATATATCACAAGACATCATGCAACATTTAAAATGCAAATAGCACTTCATAAAGTATTTAAATTCCAATTCAACTCATTACATTCACTACTGACCTTATTTTTATTCCCTCAGGAGCATCAGCAATGTCACTTTTTATGTCCCCACCACATAGTGTGGGGCCATATTGTCGTCCTAGGCGCGTCCGTCCGTCCGTCCGTCCGTCCGTCTGTCTGTCTGGTTGTCTGTCTGTCCGTCCGTACGTCCGGCAGTTTTCTCCAAAACCGCTACAGGTATCACCTTCAAATTTTCAGGAATAACTTATGAGTGCATACAGATGTGGATGAAAAAAAATTAACTCGATAGCTACTTCCTGTCGGCCATTTTGAGGTCAAATGCTAAAATCCTTGTCTGCAAACTTTAAGAAAAATGGCTTCACAGTTGCTTTTAAAACTTTAACATCTTGTTCAGCTCACTTCATTCTACATCTGATTAGGTTTTGGACCTGTTAGCCCAGTCATGTCAGCCATTTTGAATGTCTGAAGAAAAGTTAGCGCGCGATAATACTTTGTATCATATTGAATGGTGTTTTTGAGTTTTCATACTTTAACTATTTAGTAGCTTTATAAATAATTTCAGGTGTACTTTGTTGAAAAAGCCTATGTTATTGTTAACAGTAGTTATATGTGATAATTTTGTAAAAGGAAATCAGCAAAAACTCATAATCACTTTTTTATTGTCGGCCATTTTGGTTTTTTCCGTCCTAAAATCTTGTCTGTAAAGTCTTGTCTACACGTTTTCAGGTGAACCATTTGGTAGATCAATTTCAAATTTTCAGGGATGAATCTTAGTATGAAAATCTAGATCTGATTAGTTTTTTGGCGTTCTGGGTAAATGTCAAGGCAGCCATTTTGGATTTTCCGTCTTAAAATCTTGTCTGTAAAGTCTTGTCTACGCATTTCCAGGTGAACTGTTTGGTAGATCAATTACAAATTTTCAGGGATGATTCTTAGTATGAAAATCTAGATCTGATTAATTTTTTGGGCGTTCTGGGTAAATGTCAAGGCAGCCATTTTGGATTTTCCGTCCTAAAATCTTGTCTGTAAAGTCTTGTCTACGCATTTCCAGGTGAACCGTTTATTAGATCAATTTCAAATTTTCAGGGATGATTCTTAGTATGAAAACCTAGATCTGATTAGATTTTTGGCATTCTGGGTAAATGTCAAGGCAGCCATTTTAGATTTTCTGTCCTAAAATCTTGTCTGTAAAGTCTTGTCTATGCGTTTTCAGGTGAACCGTTTGGTAGATCAATTTCAAATTTTCAGGGATGATTCTTAGTATGAAAATCTAGAACTGATTAGTTTTTTGACATTCTGGGTAAATGTCAAGGCAGCCATTTTGGATTTTCTATCCTAAAATCTTGTCTGTAAAGTCTTCTTTAACTATTTGACGGATCAATTTCAAATTTTCAGGGGTGGTTCTTAGAATGGAAATCTAGAACTAGCTAATTTTTGGGGATTCTGGGTAAATTTTAAGGCGGCCATTTTGGACTTTCCGTCCTCAAATTGTGTCAGTAAAGTCTTGTCTACTCATTTTCAGGATAACCATTTGATGGGATCACCCACTGGTGGGGACATTTTGTACACATTTGTGTTCTTGTTATAAATTATTTTCTGTTGAGTTTGTCTTTCATTCAGGGAGTGGCCGCTGGGTTTATATCTAGTCTTGGTCTTCTCATCTGGATCAATGCTGGAGTCCTAATATTCAACATCCGTCCAAATAAATTGCCGACAGATATTTCTGGATGCGGCAATCGAGCATATGACAACACGACATCGTTGGACCATTACAACACGACACCGGTGGACTATTTTAGCACAACATCCTTTGACTATTTCAACACAGCAGATTCTGGTTTATTGGACCCCTCTCTTTACACCACGCATACAAGTGCGGTAGATGGAGCAACGGTTGGAGAGTATGATGATTTTATTACCATATGTTATTTGATCCTTATGTCTGCAATCGTTTCGATAACACGGGGGCGGGCCATCGATTATTCATTGCTTGTTTTAATTTACTATTGTTGGTATTGTTGTAAACCTTATTCCATTATATCTGTAGGAAAGTTTTTTTTAAATAGGTCGATCAAAATAGGTCAAATCAAGGTCAACGTGACCTAGGGGTTGTACTTTTGACATTTTGTAATAAATTGTCAAGTTTCTGTCACAATATAGATACAGATATAACTAAAATCATGGTAAAGGCTTTTCAGGAACTGACGTTACACACACTTTCAAAGAAAATAGATACCGCGAAAACCCATTGGAATCAAAGTAACGTGAAATTGAATAGTCAGCAATTTTGAAGTTCAACTTGTTTTTCTCTTTAACATTCATATCTAAAGATGTACAACAAATACCAATCAGTGATTTAGTATGAAGATGTTTGAATGTATGATGTGGTATGTTCAAATATAATTTCGCTCCATGGTGTTGCCTAGCAATCGACTAGTAACATCGAAATAGAGAAATTCAAAAATAGGGGATAGGGGAGAATAAAATATGTATCTAATATTTTGAAAAAGGTGTAATCATAAATTTGATATCAAAGTTTGCATAAACATTAAGGTATGTGTAAAACAGAATTCCAGATATTTACGAAGTGTTTTAAAAAAATCATTTTCCTCTCGAATTCGTGACAAGAACGCGTTTTGTGACTACATGTCGATGGACTGTTTTTTTTACTTTAAAAATCAATAACACTGTCGAGACAAGCTCGATTTTCATGAAATGAAGAATTTGGGAAAAAATTATTATTATCATTTTTTGTATTTTCCAGACCAATTATCTTTGCGCCTCTACCCCAAATCACCTTGGTTTTTAGCCAAAATGTGTCTTATATAAGTGACTCAGATAAACAAAATAACGGAGTCGCAAAGAGTTGTTTTGAAAAACGATAGGGGAGAGGTCTATACGTTTAATAAAAAATAACACATTGCTTAATATAGTTTAGTCAAAACATTAAAGTGTCATATATTTTCTGGTTTCAACTATTGTATAGAATGCTACCACATAAAAAATATTATTTGATATATACATTCACTTTATTTTTTATGTATTGTAGGTCTGGCATATTTTATCTGTACAGAATATCGTATGTTTGGTACACTCTAACTGCACTGATAGTGACGCTTGTTGTCGGTCTTCCTGTTAGCCTTATTGCCGAATATGTAACAGGTGTGCTATAAAAACACATCCAGGTCTTTATAACGTATATGACTTTTACAACACCACAAAAACACATTTTTTGTTCATAAACATGGGCTTATGATTACTTCCCATAAATCAGCATGCTGTAACTGAAAAGTAGAAATGTTTGAACTGCATTTTTGCACAGAATTATAGGTACTATCAGTTATCACACGTTTCTGCATGTGATACAGGAAATATTCCACAAAAGGTAATACTGTATCATCCACGAAGGCGAAGCTTGAGTGGTGATACATTGTTACTCGAGTGGAATATTTCATGTATCACATAAGCTAAAACGTGTGATGACGATTTTATCACATGTCTAGGATTTTTGAGGCATTTTGATTTGGTCAGTTATGATTGTTTTCAGTACTCTGTACTCCTGGAAACTATTATAATTGTTGGTTTCGCTTTGAAACAATATGACGTCATACCGTTGTATTCGTACTTTTTTGTGAAATAGTATGTCGTCATATTGTTTTCCTAAGCTAGAAGTGATATAATCTGTGACGTCACATCGTTGCTATTGACTCCGTAGTGATACAGCTCCCCGTATCACATGAAAATTAGTCACGTGTCAAGTGATACTGAATACACATCATCACAATTGACCAATCAAAATGCGTAGACACTCCTAATCATGTGATAAAAGTAATTACCCATAGTAAAACATAACAATGGTTTGTGGTATACTTGTACCTATGTTATAATTGACTTGAAAAACACTTGTTTGACTCGTTATAGGTGGATATGAGGTCAAAGATGAGACTACAATGTGGTCAAAAGGATGCTGCGAATTGCAGAAACAAGATTCAGAATCAATGGTATGTGTTCTATTTTACAAAACTCCTTTTACTAAACAACACTTACTTTGAGACTCTATAGGCCTTGGGTAAATTTTGTCTTGATTTTAGGATGTATTTTAAAGCAATCGTTACTTGGTAAATTCATGAAATTTGAAATAAATCGGAACTGTAAAGGAGAAATCATTATCAATATACTAGATTTTGTAGATAGCCTTATAGAGAGAAATTCAAAAATAGGGGGTAGGGGAGAATAAAAGATGTATCTACTATTTTGCTATTTCAGGCGAATGGTTCTTCTACAAATGTAATCGCTAAGACTGAACATCATCAAAGAACGTCAGATACATATCAAATATACAATAAAGGATTCGATGATGAATGTATTAGACTCTGATTCGTTTTCTAAATGTAATTTACGAGTATCATTAGGAAACTATTTAATCAAAAACGAAGCAAATTATGTCAAATACATGCATTTTTGTATTTCAGATTTTATATCTTACATCGTACATGTAAATTGCTCTACTCCGGTGATGCATTGTTATCTTTATCTTTATTTTCTTAGTTCGAGAATAACTTCATGAGAATATACATGGTATATATGTTTACAGGGTGGTCCAAGAAGTGAGACACTCATATTTCTGTTAAAATTTCTGTTAAACCGCAACATATACCCACTAGGGTGTCTAGCGGCTTGTTTTTAAGAATTATGAAATAAATAAATTGAATTGAAAATTGAAAAAAATTCCAAAAATAAATATCGGTTTTATTGATGAAAACATCATATAATATACCAGTGGATAGGAAATTTAATTATATGTTTTCATCTACACAATCAATGTTTATTTTTGAAATACGAGTGTCCCATTTTTAGACCACCCTGTATATATATCCTTTTGCATATCTATATTTATGAAGCTTATTTGCCAAATATAATTTATAAACTAATTTAGCTTTTAACTAGAATAAATTTGATCCAATGCAAGTATATTTTGAAATACAGCTTAACTTAAATGCACTTGCATGGTAAGATGTCCTCGCGTTGACGCATATAATGATAACCGTTTCAATTTCAATTCATTTTAATCTCCCTCGAGTTCATATTCTACTACTGACTTTATAATATAGATTGTCCTAAAACCCCTTCGAATAATACACATGTCAATTTTATATGTGCCATTTTGAAATGAGTGTTACATGCATGGAAAGTGATAAAATAAACTAGCAAATATGTACGTCAAAGTGGATTTCTATGTGAAGCAAATCAATACATTTCAACCAAAATATTTAACAGTTTTTTCCCAAATGCTAATTTGCCCCGGATGGCATCACATTTGGTTATTACAGTAATTACAGTGATTAATCTTAGAAATACCATTAGTGACCCCCCCCCCCCCTTACTATTGAGGACTTTTTGTGACTATTTGCACTCTTCATTTGCAAATAAATTATTTAAGAAATGTACTGATTAGCGCAAAAGTCGAACTATTCTTGTTAACTTAAACTATTTTTCGAATAATTCCAAAATAAACAAATGTAGTGCTGCACACTTCTATGCTTCTGCACATTACACATGTTCATTCTCTGGATGTAAACATTGTGCTATGTAGAGTTCTTCATATGCTCAAAGTATGGCCGATGAAACAGTGGCTGTATTTGACTGGGTAGATTGGCTTGTATATGGATTTGCATTGTTGGGGTCGTTATTAATTGGAGTTTACTATGGATGTACCGGAAAGAAGCAAAGCACTACAGATGAAGTTTTACTTGGAGGAAGAAACATGTCGGTGTTTCCAGTGTCATTGTCTATCTGTGCTACTCTTATATCCACTGTAGCAGTTATTGGATTTCCGGCTGAAGTATATTATCATGGAACAATGTTATGGTTGATAGTGATTGGAATCTCGATTGGTTTCATAGTAACTGCACATGTGTATTACCCAATTTATTATGACTTGCATATAACAAGCATATTTGAGGTGAGAAAAAAATTATTAATGTACATATGACATGTATATCTGAGTTTGAGACATTTTAAAGACTCAAGGGGAGGCTTTAACATATTTTATACTTTACAAATAATGTAAACGAAATATCGAACTTTTAAATCTTAAAAATTATATTTCATGAAATTATAAAATCACTTGTATATTGACGTGATTTTGTTTGTGTGGTGAGTATGCATGCCTACCATGGATCATGATAATAATTGGTAATACAACAGTGTTCCAATGATTACATATTCAAAAATCAGATATCAGGTTAGTCGGTTTTCCACTTTGTATATATATAAGGTCAGCATCCCCGTTAACCCGACACAACCTTAAGTAATATGCACAGGGTACAAACAGATGGAAAACATATTTTTTATTTACACTTACTTTTGTTCTGTTCGTATGGCCGTAGTATCTGGCTTTAGCATGTGAATTGTTAAAGCATAAGTTGAAAACGTTCTTACTATCACCTGCTCAAAATGTTTACCCTAAACTAAGGTAAGATATACGAAACTCTTTAATCACGTTAACGCTTTTTTCGTTTCTACTCTTGGCCTTTAGCATACATCAATCGATGTACATAGTTTTTTTGTCCGAAAAGCAATCTAGATGTTTTAAGAACATAATTTTTGTTAAGTATAAATCAGTTAGAAAATTAGACACACTCTAATAGTTAGTTGATTTTCATTGTACTTGCAAATACTACAACTATATTAAAGTATTTAAGCTCTATGTAGCAAAACATATATTTTAGAGATAAGCAGTTGGTTCAACATTTGATTCTTCTTTCTATACTGGGCTTATATCAAGGATGCATTATTGGTTCAAAGTTGATTAAAACTTTTGAAGATGGCCGATTCTTTGGGTTGAAATGTACTTGCTGAATAGAAAAAATACTGTTTTTTCTTCATATCGATTGTATCCATTTTAATAGGCTTTTGTTGTTCCACGATCAAAAGTTACATCGAGGCTGTTACAAGAGACAAAACGTAGATTTCTGGACACTGTCTCGAGATATTCGCACCGTATCTTATAAAAACACTTGATACACTATTCAATGTATGTCCAATACATTATTTATTTCAAAGTATTTCCTTACGTTATTACATTCAGCAAAATGTTGCATAAATAGTTCAAGCTTGAAGTAAGTGCTTCTGATAATTTGGCACATGTTCTAGTATGTACCGCCTATGTACCTATTTCAGTACCTGGAACTACGATTCAACAAGACTGTTCGAATCATGGCAGTGATAACATATTCATTTCAAATTGTAAGTATAGCAATGATGCATTACATTTTTTACCTTCATTGACATTTCGGGGTAGTTAGGTTGTCCCCTGGCTGTCTAGAAAATGAAACAATTTTGTAATTAAGCAATGTCGTGTCATAGAATTTCGTCTTGTCTTTGTACAATCCATCTTCTAAAAGTCTCAATTTCTATTTTTCATGATTAGAACCATTTATATAGGATTATCATTCAACTTCATACCAGCCTACAATATTTTATGACCATCAGATTGATAGTTACAATTTACAGCACTTTAAATCTCATGCTGCAGATTGCCAATATTGCGCTTTGAGAGAATCTGCACCCGTCGTCTAAAATGTTCATACCTAACTTCTATTTCTGGGATATGACAAAGATAAAGTGTACAAAATGACCCCAGGACAATTAGAGACCTCAAACAGGTGATCATAATTGTCATTCAGGCCATACCTACTGAGGATTGCAGTTGGATCATTGAAACGTGTGTAGGTTTGCCTAAGCGCGATGGTGGTCATGTTGTTTAAAGTGCTGTATCATCGTGACTAATTATCATAAAATACGGTAGGATGATATGAAATTGAATGAATATACAAGTGTGTAAAATATCATGGAGTAAATCCCTAAAAAGACAAAGATATGAGGAAAATACAGAGTTGTCCTTTCTTTTACCACCATGTGTGTACTGTTCTGACAATAAAGACTCGCTGACAATAGTTGCAGTAATATGTATAGCCAAATAAAGCTACTAGTATGTGCTTAAATAAAGCATCATTGCAAATGTTCTATCAAAAATTCATTTTTCATATCCTAAAAATTGTGTGATTTTTGTCATTCTTTTAATTTCAGCTGGTTTTCATTTCCGTTCAGCTATATGCATCATCAATTACACTTAGCCAAGGTAAAAAGGTTTATCTAATTTCTCATTTTTGTATGATTTTAAATGCAACATTATTTTAAAATGTTCTACTTGGACTAAATGAACCACCTGGCATGCGCATTTTATTTATCTTTGCAGTGAGTGGAATTCCTTTCTGGGGAACAGTGATACTCAACGGTTTGGTCTGCATGCTGTATACGTCATTAGTACGTACCATCCTTTCTTTGACCTTAAAATTGAGTCGTCTCACATTCTATCGTTTATAATATTATTAATTATTACCTCCCCCCTCCCTTATTATAAAGTATACCGTTATCACAAAAATTAAACAACGAGCGTTCCCTTACTTCAGTATCTCTCTCCCTCTTTATCTAAGCTTGGAAACACAATGTGCATTCACATTCACCCATCAAAAAGGATTTCCTTTGTATTTTCTAGGGTGGTATGAAAGCAGTGCTCTGGGCCGATTCGTTACAACTATGTCTTATTTTGTGTGGATCGCTTGCTTTAATTATCCAAGGCTCTGTTAACCTCGGCGGCCTGGGTCGAGTTTTTGAAATAGCCGCTGAACATGATAGAATTCAATTCGACGAGTAAGTATTAATATTTATTATGCACCTCATTAAAATACTCAAATCTGATTGGTTAAGAGCCGCAGGGTCTATTGCCATACGTGGCAGCAAGATCTCGTTCTATCCAATATTGAAGCAACGAGATCTCCAACCATCCCGTATGCCAGAATACCTATCCTCGAAAAAATACTTTCGACGAGTCCATTTGTCGATGACGTCATTTTCTTAGAATCTCTTCCATGTTGAATTTGAGACGAATGCGAGGGAGAATTGATTTGATGATATGAGAGAAGGGGATTTCTATTCAATTTCCTGTGATTAACTGACAAAAGGTAGGTGGCGCTAGATAAGGCATCGGCCAAACTTATTATATATGGAGGGAATACTTAAGAATAAGGCCAAATAAGAGAATAAATGGAATTCTTGATTGTCGAACACCAGGGTTTTTATAGGCTCGGCTTCTGTTTTAGTAGACCCATTCTTTAAAATAAAGTATTTCTCAAGTGAGGTGCATAATAAAATAAATACTGGATGACCATGAGGTGGATATGCCAGAATACCTATCCTCGATAGAAATATGCCACATTATGTTGTTTATCATTTAAACAGTTGCATCATTTAATGACTTCAAATTTAATGTATACAAACATACATTCATTAAATTTATATTTAACACTTTTTACTCCCTAATTTTAAAGACATTTGTTTGCTTCGCCTCGCCTAGTATTTTTTCCTTGGATAGGTATTCTGGCATATCCACCTCATGGTCATCCAGTATTTGTTAAATATCGACCTAGTAGCATACAATGAATAGTTCCACCGTTTTAATATTTATTGTAAAATGTACGCTAAGAAATCATTATGACAGTTTTTCCTTTGCTTTTTGTTTTAATTTTAGGTTTGACCCGAACCCTACAACGCGCCATTCTGTATGGGGTCTTACAATTGGAATGGGATTTTTCCACATATCTTTATTTTCAAGTAGCCAACATTCTGTACAACGTTATTTAACGTTGGGTACGAAAATACGGGGTCAAGGGTAGGTGTTAACTGTTAATGGGGAGTCTAAGTTTGTATATAAAATCGAAACGCTATCCCATACACGTGTATGACCAATCGCCCGTACAAATGCATCGTTTAATATTTTCCGTTCACGTTTAGGATGTGAAAAACATTGCAAGCTTAAACTTTCCGATATTGAAACAATGTCTATACATTCTTATTTATTCTTTAACTTGGATTTTCTTACTTCACTCACAATTATCTGAGTTATGATGCATCTCTCTACCCGGACTCGATTTTGTTAGCTCTGATTTTTTCCTATAAAGTGACAATAAATTTTTTAAGAAAACTCAGTTTTTGCTGCAAATTCATGCCTATCGGATGAACACTTTTCAACTAAATCTATGTCTATGTTCGTTATACTCAAAGGAATCGTCTATACCTCTTGATTAAACATTGCAAATAATTAGTAATTGTTATTATAGAGCACTGTACCTGAACACGATTTTAACAACGATACTTGTATCAATAGTAATCTTGGTAGGAATCGTGATGTTTGCCACATATGCTTCGTGTGATCCTATCAAACTCGGACAAGTTGAAAAGGTCGATCAGGTAACTAGAGTGACAAATTAAGATTCTTTACGACTTTTTACGACGATTTTGAGACTTAAATCATATCACAAATAATTGTAATTTAAGCTGAGTAACCTAATTCTGTATTGTTTTTTTTGCGTTCAACATTGGTAGCTGATGCTCATTGTAACAGTGCTCCATGTTTAATTTTACGTTTTGTTTAATCAGATGCCAGCGTATTTAGTGGTGGACCTGTTCGGTCATTTAAGAGGGATGTCAGGACTGTTTATTGTAACAGTGATAGCAGCTGCAATGAGGTATGGAACAAGAATATAAAACAAGATAACAATAATCAGGCCCTTAGCCAGCTTTTGCCAAGAGAGGTTCACTTTTCAAAAGAAAATCCAGGGTGGCGGTTCCTTTTCGTCAACTCTGGTCCAAAATCACATAAACAGTGCTCATGAAAACTGAAATTGTATGATTTTGATTTTTTACCCTAGTGGAGTCGCTCGAATTAAGCGATCCCTCCCAGGACAGCATAGTATCCTATGAAGTGTAACGGATCAAGATATGATGGAATAGCTACTCTGATCATGATATCTCCATGATTATACAATTTAATGCAAAATAGTTTTTTTCATTTATACCTTATACTGTTAATGTTTTTTCGGTTTCTATTCGATATTTATATATAATGTCTGCCAACAGTAACAGTAAAAGCTGCAAAGCTTTTGGAAAGAAAATATCACATAGTACAAAATGTTCCGAATTCACTCCATTCATCTAATGAGATAAGGTCTTATTAATGAGATTAAAAATGCTATCCTTCAAATGTCGACGTAGCTTATATCTTTTAGCACAATGTCTTCTGGACAAAACGCACTAGCAGCCGTGTTTTTAGAAGACATCACAAAACCAATTTACAAAGCAGTACATTACAAACCAATTCCAGAGAGATTTGCTACGAATATTACTAAATTCTTTGGTAAGTCTAAGATACTACGTTTCACCTTTCAGGTGTTTCTGAAAGAGTCTTTTGAACTAACATATTTGAAAAAATGTGTCCTTGTTCATCCCAACTTCCAGCTTGTGATTTATGTTTTGCTTTCAGGAATATTTTTCGGGCTTACAACCATGGTGATTACCTTTATACTGGCTGATACTAAAGAGACCATTCTGAATATTGCTTGGAAGTTATTGGGTATTCTCGGGGGACCTCTTTTTGGAATGTTCACACTGGGGATTCTTTTTCCTCGTGCTAATGCATGGGTAAATATACAGCTGCATTTGTGATTACTAATTTTTCTTTCCCTACCCTTTTTGTGTATATTTTTTAATATATAACGTCTAACAGCTTTACTCAAATCAGGGATAAATCCTTATCCAATTGTGCAATTGGTTGACCTTCTGTTAATGAGTAGTATGGGTGAATTGATTGCAAACGTTTCTCTTTGATAGGTATTTCTTTACATTTCCCCTTTCTTCCAGTGTATAAGATGTTTATATAAGTTTAATGTTCAGACACTTTCAGCCAATTGCTTATATACATATACGTCGAGAATTCTTCACTTTTCTACAGGGAGTGGCTGCTGGTCTCATCTCGAGTCTTGGTGTTTTAATCTGGATAAATGCGGGTGTCCTTATGTTTAAGATTCGTCCAGACAATCTTCCAACGGATATATCTGGATGTGAAAGCATTACTTATTTTAATGAAACATCGGTCGAGGCCTTCAACATGACAACAATTGGCTCATCAAATACCTCACATTTGGAACCGCCTCCCGAGACCCTAAATGCAAATGCGACTGGTACAATGCATGATACTGAGTATGACCATTTATCATTCAGAATATAAAATTTCTGTTATTTCAATACAATAACCAGAAAACAAAGTGCACAAATGCAAAACAGGAAAGCATAATTAGTTCGTGTCATTTTCCTTCTGAAAACCCTCTGAAGCGGTTTGTACAGTAAGTAAAATTGTTTCTCCAACAGTGAATGATGAGTGTGAAGAATAACCTGTTGATGGATGATTCGACAAGGGATTAACATTAAGGTATACCAAAAATCATCTCTTCAAAGTGATTTCCATAGTTTATATTCTTCATTTTAGGCCTGAGATTTTCAACCTGTATAGGATATCGTATGTTTGGTACACACTTATTGCGCTGATTGTGACGCTTGTTGTCGGTCTCCCTGTAAGCCTTATAGCTGAATATACAATAGGTAGGAATAACAAAACAGAAACAACCCTTATGTTTGCCCTAGAATATAAAAAAGAAGATTTGAGTATGTTAAGACATCGTATAAACCAAGCATAACAAAAGTTATCCTTAGATACGTCAGTGAAATATTTAAAGGATATCCTATGATTTTGAGGAATATCATTTTTATCTACGAGGTGATATTGATATCTGCACGAGAGAGCAAAGCGAACGAGTGCATATATCAATACCACCGGAGATTCAAAGACCTGACAAAACCTTTGCTGTCAGTCTATAAGATTGCTGATTACATTGGGTTCCAGCCGAGTTTCATTTTTATGTTGAACTTCTCACAAATATTGCTCTATCATATTCATTAATGTAGAAGTCCAATGGGACATTATCAGGGAAATATTGGCCATTGTTTCAAAAAGGTTAATATCAAGACATTCAATTGTAAGATTTGTTTTCTTTGGTTTGTGCATTGGAGCATTGACTGTGGAGGTGCACTATTGACTTTCCTATTAATCCAGGGACCCTTTTTCTTAGCACTTATATACTCTTTTCTTTGATTATACTTGTGACATTACATAGTTCTGATATGTATCAATAATACCGTTATACTAAAGAAAATACTATGGCAGCAAGAACCTATATTGAACAAAACAAAAAACTGATAAGAAATACAATAATAAAATTATTTCAAACGATCATATTTTAGCAATTTATCACAATTTATCGATAACCTGGAACTGCTCCGCATACCCCTCACCACCGTTACCATGACAACCTCAACTTTAACACATTTAGACTATATGTTATAAACGTTGGAATATGTATTGTAATGTAGTTCTTCTACAATCTGTAGCGATTTCATTACAAAAAACAAAATATTCTAGAATTAAAGTATTTGTATCATTGCAAAATGAATTTCATACCAAATGGAGTCAATTTGGCGGGATATCAACAAGCGCGGAGTGTTTCATCACAATATCCGCATATTGGGTTTTCCGGAGTATATCGTCACGATATCCTCCGCCCGGAGTATACCGTTACGATATGCTCCGGATATTAATTTTTCCAATAAATATCAAATTTATTTTTAAATGTTATTATACATTTAGTACACTAAGTGTAGAATAAGATTATGTGTCCGAAATCCTCAAAATGAAACTATACTGAAGTGACGCCATATACAGCAAGCGTCTCAAAATAACTAGTGATTAAATGCACAGGGTTCTTATAGTGTGTAAATATATACGATGCGCACGTTTTATTATTCAGGTGGATATGAAGTGAAGGATAAACGACTTATATGGACGCTGCCCTGCATGAAGCAGACGTAACATTCGAAAGCAATGGTAAAGATTCAAAGCTCCAACATCATAGCTTATCATTTCAGAAGTCAACGTTCTAATATTATGGTAAAGGATTTAATTGTCAGTCCACTGACCCGATTCATATGCTTATAAGATAGTATTTGTTTACTCTTTTCAGGTAAAATACACACTAAATACAAATGACAATAAGACTAGAAACGGGGCAATCAAGGATGACACGTTTAATTCACATATACCACATACCGAAGAAATAAACAATGGAGAATACGATTATAGCACTGAACTTTGAAACAAAGTACACGTTCAAAAAGTTAAATGATATTATGTTGAAAAATAGATGACATTATTTAGTAAAATATTTTATATCCATGGTCAGAATACAGTCATGGTCAGAGATGTGCCTAGTGCATAGTGTATCATATTACTGGTGTTTCCTGACTTTCTCCCTCTAAATAGAATATGCATTTGAAAGTAACGTATTATACTCGGCGTCGCCATACAATACAACAGTCATATAGAATAAAATTATTTGTAAAGGCTATGAAAGAATCAAGAACCAATTTTATAACTATATGTGTGTTTAACATTTAAAATATAATATTCAAAAACTTTTCTATTATTTCAAGTTTTCAGAGTACCTTTTTTAATTATAACATATCTTTTATTCAACGACAGAAACATACATATCGATTGTAAGGCGTTAACTAAGCTGCATATACATGTTGTTTTCGCAAGAAATTTGAGGCTTCATACCATGAGCATTTCAGTTCAAAAGTGCATTTTACAAAAGCAAGCCGAACACCAATGGGACGTCAAGGGCTATACAGTTAGCTAGAAGAGTAAAATATTTTCAGAGGGCATGAACGGACACGCTTGAATATTTCCATGGGACATTGTCCGTTGTTGTCACTTTTGTCTAACGTTGTCCGCGAGACTTTAGAGAAATTAAGCTGGCACATAAAATCGAAACGCCAACCTGTACGTAGGAAATCGCTCCATACAAATGCATGTAGTTTTCTCACCTAAATAATTGTTCGGTTATGAATGTTTATTTAGTCTTTTACTTGGACCACACCACAGCGTGGTTTAGGCCATTGATAGTTATAAAGCTGGTTTTCTATGATACATATTTTAAACAAGCTCGTTTCTTCAGAAAGCATTATACTGTGCATCCAAATCAAAATTGCCAGCATAGTATTCAATAGACATGAGTATAATGATACCCGTTGAAGCCAACGTGAAATAGCAAATCTCCCGTTCTAAACACGAAACTGAAGCTGATCGGGTGTCTGGAGTAGACTAATTTAGCGCTTGATTTGTATGCGCGCATACATTACTGCATTGTGCACCGGCGGATTAGAGGGGGGCTGGGGGCCCGCACCCCCCCCCCTTGGGTGGGCCCAGAAAAAAATTTGGCCAAATTTTGGGCCAAAAAAGGTGGGCCTTTTTGGTCATAACTGGGCCTTTTAAGGCCTTATCTTTTAATTTCAGGCCAAATTCTGAAGAAAATGGGCATCAAAATTTCACAATTTGGGCCCACTTTTGGGTTATAGGGGCCCAAAATTTGTTTCCGCGCAAGCGAGGACGTTTTTTCTCTGACCTGAAATTTGCGCCCCTGTTGTGGACTTTGTGTTCGTAGTAGCATTGTGAAAAATATTCACCAGCTTAAAGTCTCCATTGTCCGTCGTTGACCGATTTGTCCCTTTGTGCCCCTTTATATCCCATGAAAAGAATTGACATGTTATATAATTATTTTCAAGGGACATTACCGGACAAATGAAGGCTATCTTTCCACGTGACGATCATATGACCATTTTCCGACAAAATGGCGCTGTACTCCAAACATCGATCATCGGACAAAACGGGTAAACGTCGGACATTGTCTCACGATTTCCGGGGGACAACAGCGGACAAAGCCGGATACGTCCAATTGGTGTATGGTAATTAGGTACTCGTGTCTTACAATGCCAACAATTGTTGAAAACAATTGTCCATTCTGACTAGGTAGATATCAAAGGCGGTATCGTTGAATAAATGCTCATTATACTTTTTGAACCACCCTTGTACACCTCTGCGTTAATGTCATATATTATGGGTATTCAGCTAGCAATTGGTGCAAACGTAGTTTTATTATGCTAACTTCACCTAATATTTAGCTGACACTATTGCTGAGAAAAACTGTGGTTATATTTGGCTCGGAAGATTGGCTCGTATACGGATTTGCATTGTCGGGATCGTTATTAATTGGAGTTTGCTCTGGATGTACCGAGAAGAAGTAAAGCTCTACATATAGAGTGTTACTTGGAGGAAGAGACATGTCGGTGTTTCTAGTGTCATTGTCTGTTTGTGCTACTCTCTTATTAACTGTGTCGAACATCGAATTACCGGGAGAAATGTATTATCAAGGAACGATGTTTTAGTATATTGTGGTGAGAGTTGCCATTGGCTATACGAGGATTATCCAAGAGGTAATGCACTATTTGCTCTGTATTAATACTTGCTATTTTTCAATGAAATTTTCAGTCAATAATCTTTAAAGACATATTGAATATTCTACAAAGTTTCATCTTAATTGGTTACATCATGTTCGTGTTGTAATAAAATCAAGTTGGTGAGTTTGGGTAGGGTGGAGCAATTTGTTCACGTCAAAATGGTTAGAAATTGAAAATATCAAATAATTAATCAACAAATACCCTTTTGTGTAGCTATAATGAGTGTGTCCGAAAATATATTTTAAGTTTCTAAAAATTTACGAAGAGCACATCCTAGATGCAATTGATGCTTATTGCACAGTGTCCCATTTGATATTTTCGCAAAATATTGACCTTTGCAAGTAACACACTTGTGTTGCACCTTTTCCCAGTCCTGGTAGCCTCATCTAAAATCCTCGTGCGTCAGACTAGGTTTGGAGTTATTATCCAGGGTCCAGTTATCATTTTTAAATCTCTTCTACCACCTTATAATTGTAGTTATATCTGGTGTATATTCCTTATATGCTTCCTTCATGTTAGCATGCGTTTGTTTGGCCTTGAGTCCAAGTACGTGAAGTATGAAATTGGGCCACAGAATACAATGCCTTCTTATCAGGCTTCAGAGTTGCTGCCATTTTCACAACTTCTTGACTGTGAGTGAATTTGAATTTGTGACTAGTGATCTGTGGCATAATAACATCACAAAGATGCTATAAATGTCATTATTTGTGCTTGGTGGACATCATGCTGAATAAATTTAACAATACAATAACTTTGTTATCATTTAAAAGTAAGAAATATAAATATAATAAAACTTTATAGCTTTTCATGATTAGAAAAAGTGGTACACGCCACGCCCATCCCTACCCCGTGTTGCTATAGCAGCCATTTTTAAGACTTAACATTAATGTATTGAGCTGAAATAATAATAACTGATTACACAGATAACACTTGTCAATGAATTGCGATATACACAAAAATTCAGCTGAATTGAAGAATATTAAAGAAAGTTAGAGCATATAGTGCATTACTTCTGGGACAACCCTCGTATAGCTACAACACACGTGTGATGCCCAAAATGATACAGAATTACCATAATTCTTATTCTTGGACTCACACATGTCTACTTGCTAAGGTAGTCGTATGCCTAAGTTCGATGCCGACAATAAAAGAACACAATGATATCACTTAAGTGATACGTGACTTTACAACATAGATAATAGTTAATTAATTTACAACTCATCATTCACAGAGGAATATTTCTCAAATTATGTAAAATAGCAAGCGCCTCGTGTGCCTCATCCTGGCCATGCTCGAAACAGTTGTAACATAATAGGGAGATTAAGAGTTAGCTTAAAAATATACGTATACCTATTCCTATCTGTATGTTTGTTTCGGATGTGTATGGGTAATGCGTATTGTAAAATGAGTTTAAGATTAACGTAAGAAATCGAATGCAACAATTTATGATACGAAAATGACATCCTGATTCTAATGAAAACCGTACGATGGTTTGTATGCATTTACCAGTACATGTCACCTCAAAGAAATGTTATACACTTCAGAGAGAGCGCGGTGTAGCTATACTGTAGTGGAGGGGTGTTGCTTATGAGCCCGCTAAAGGCGAAATGTTGATCCAGCAATGAGAATGACCAATTAAAACCACGAGAAAATGCCTGATTTCATACATTTACAATTAGCAAAACAGATAACGAATGTGCAAATTCAACAATTTCATGCGTCATCAATTGACATTGTTTATCGCATCAACGAATGTGTTCGACCACTTAATATCTATGCAGATCGAATGAGAAATGTTTGTTGTTACTTTTCTAAAGTTTATTAAATAATATTTGATCTTCAAATGACATAATTTATTGGATAAAAACATACGTTTTCGAATTACCTATCTTCGGCCATTTATAATAACTTAGGTAAAATACCGCTTAGTGTAATAACAAACTGCGTATAGGTATATGTAAATGGGTTATTTACGCTAATCTTAGACTCCCTATATACGCTTATCCTAACCTCCCTATTTTCGAATTTGGTCCCGTGAGAAAGCTTTAGGAAGCTAGTTATGACATCCACTTGTGAGCAATTACGAAATACTCATGTTTTTGAACACAAATATCTTCATTATTAACTAAACGGATAAAGTTTATGCCATAGGTGTCTGAAATGTTAAATCAAGACACAGTTGATCATTGAATTTTATTTCACAAATCATGTACTGTATGTACACGTTCCTCCAAAAGTTTGGCAACCTTAGCTCCCTCATTGGACTATGTGTTATTTACATAACCTGTGAGGAAATTACTTATATTACTGATGGAAATGTAACTTGACTTCTTTTTCAATGCCTCCAAATTTCTTTTTAAAATCGTCGTTCCCAAAACCAAAAAGAAATGGTGGGTACGGGGCAAATCTGATTTCAGGATATCTATCAAGTAAAACATTCAGCAAAAATATTCTTAGAAAATTGAATTGTCTAACTTTTTCAGTTTGCTTTATGAATTATGAATTACAGAGCGCCAAAGTCATTTTTGAAAATCATTTTTTGCCTCCTGTAGTATTTCAATGGGAGGAATATTGTGAAAAATAATTCTGACTTTGAAGACCTACACTCCCCTCCATAAGTTTGGCAACCTTTTTTCCCCCATTGAACTACGTGTTAAAGCCTCTTTACCTTTGAATTTTTATTTACTTAACCTGCGTTGAAAATACTTATACTATTGATGGAAACGTAATTTTACTTTAATTCCAATACCTCCAAATTTTCTCAATTTTTTTCCTCAATTACAGTAGGTCGAAAATTGATGATAAATTTGATGAATTTTTGAAAATCGACATTCCCATGTTAACCAATGGGAAATGGTAGGTTTGTCGCAAGTCATATGACAGAATATCCATCCATCCGAGTCCTTGCAAAAAATACGAGTTAGGCAGGTAATTGAATTTGCTAACTTTATTTAACAAAAAATTGATATGTTTCTTCAGGTTCAACAAAGTTATAGGGCTTTAAAGTCAAA